GAAGTACCTACATGGCTTAAGTGACAAAAATAATTATTTTCTGTGGTCAAAAACTGTGTATTGCGCACCTGCAAGTAGATAAATCACATAGCTGTGTTATATAGTATACCTAGTCCCTTTAACACATGGTACAGGCTCATGTATATGTGTAACAGTATGTGTAACATACTGTGTGGTATGTGTAGCAGGCTCAGAACACGCGTATTTGTACATGAAATTATATGTTTTCAGTTTCACAAGTATCATATAGAAGTGGCTACACGCGTCATACTCGTTCTTCTAACCTCACCTAACCTCCGCTACTGGCAACAGAAGTTATTGACCTGGATGACCTCATAGGCACCTGCAGGTCCTGACGTAACGTATTGTGACCTTATTATGCGTTAGAATGACATATCAACATGTTTCTATTGAAAAATCGAACTATGCGCACTTAAAATTAGAAATTACCTAACGAAAATGTCTCTTTTAAGCTCAATATGTGTTTTGTACAATACACTCATACAAATAGGTCATGACCTGGGTCAAGGTCATGTGCTCGCCGGTCATGTGATAGTTGTACATGTATGTTAGCGCTCTTTTCCTCATATAAAAACCCAAAGCTACGCAAAATAGTGCAAACTTGCATTGTTCATAAAAAAGGTAACAAAAAGTTAACATGCTTTACTGCCCTCACCTGGCTCTTTCCGAAACATCTGCAGTATTCAAACTGCACGTGCTATCATTTGGTGATACTAAAACAGGTTTGGCAATGGCAAATAACCCACAATTAAGTTGTGTGTGGTTCACAATTTTTTTGTGGGTTGACCTCTTTGACTTGCACTAGGTCACTGACCTCGGCAGATCAAGACTTCCAATTTGCACAAAATATGACAAATTAGTGGATGAATAGATACTGGGAATGCGGCGTTGCTGCAAGCGTTAACTTTTAGCTGTTCTTCATCCTCCGACCAGGTGCGGGTTAAGCCTGAAGATAGCCTTGAGCTTTTGAAAGTTCGCTGGTTTGCCCAAGTGGACGTGGTTCTTGAGGATACCTACGGCACAAAGTTCAGATGCTGCAGGTCGGGCGAGTAAGAGCCACAGCACGGCACTCTTAAGCTGTTGTGCATTCCAGCGAAACGATTCTCGAACCAATCCAGTGAAGCCCGTACCGTCTGCGGCGTCGCCCCGTCCTGCTGGAGACCGTTTTCGTCTCCACTAACCACTTGCCGCTGTTGAATAAAACATGGGCGAACATTGATCTTGGATATCTTGCACACACAGAAGTTTCATATTGACGCGGTCTGATAATTTTACCTTTCTACGACTTTTTTGCGAACCTGATATGCTGTTAAGCCGAGACCTTGCGGCACAATCGGGGGTTCTAATTTAGTGCTCGGTGATTCCGTTCTCACGGAAAAAGGAATACTTTAGCACATCTACGTTCACGCGACTGGGGATCAGAGGACATACGCTCCGTTCTCTTCCTTTGTGATATGAGGACTGCTTTCTTGGAAGCCATGGTGGGGTGATATTGCAAAGCGGTAGGATTGGGGTAGCCATGTTTTTTAAGATTCATTTCAAACCTTCTGAAAAGATGCATTTCTGGGATGAGCACTTATGAGACAAACCTTGAAAATTCACTCCATAATCTGTATATGTATTTTATTATTCCCTTCATTTTACCTAGTTTTTACTTCATAAGCCATAAGCCTCAGCACTGTTTGTTTGGTGTACTCTGGCCTTATCATTAAAGTCCGGGTCAACGGCACAATTTTACAACGAAAGCTTAACTTACCGCGATGATGGGTACGGTCTCTCCTGCCCTCATTTGTTCCCTTTAGAGCGGTCGCTGCCACAGGTCGCAGGCTATCCCAGTCGGGAACAAAAAACAAACGCCAAAAGCGACTGGAACACACCCCACTACACGTAAGTGAATCGCAAAGCAGGCGCTCTAACCAGCTGGGCTACCGGGACCGACCAAAGTACAGTGCGAGAAGGAACGGTTTAAAGTACAATGCCGTGGTGCATCTCTCGCCTACTTGTACCACAAGAAGAGAGCCAAGGTATAGAATCAACCGATTTCGTTCGAAGTGTGTGAAAGTAAAAGAAATATTGTTGATCGACTTTTCACAAAGGAATGTACCACACACACAGCTTCTTAGCGTCTAGTTTTCTCCATACAGCCAACACTTTTTTGGTTGTATCGCTTTAACATCTTTGTCCTGATATACTGAAGGTTGACTATTTTCAACATGAGAACTCCCAGCTCTTCTCCCGAAACATGGAGATTCAAGGCTTTTATTGTCTGTATGAGCTTCCATCTCATGTTGATGTGTTGACCAACCCAAATTTTACGACGGTGACTCTGGAGACCCATTTGGTTCCCAATCTTCACATATTTTGTCCTTCCCGTCATTGAGGTTACTTTTGAGAGGGTCATCTGTGATCAGTTTTGTTTTTAAATATGGGTGTATTGTGGTCATGCACTCGAAAATGTGCTATAGGCTCTCATGCCTACGTGTCAGGCCACCCCATTCTACATAAAACCGCCCTTTTGCACCTCAGACCACCTTTGAAGACCGATGGACACCTCAGCTCTATTCATACGCTGGGCGAGCGCCGTGTGGGCAACACAAAATCGCCCGCCCCTTGTTCAGTGCACGCACCCGGCGCGTGGGCGCAATACTGATCGGCCTGCTCGAATTTTTGTGTTGTTGAAGTACCGTTTGCGCCTCCTGCTATTGCAGTTTTACTATTTTGATTACAACCAGTGTGACAACGCTGCAAGTACTTTTTCCATTCGCACTTTAAAATGGTAATCTCATAGGCAGATTTGGAACCTTCTAGATGCAAGGGATTGAAAAATGGGGATCTCTTGTTTAGACACATGCACCTCACTCAATAGGCTGTAAAGAAGAGTGCTTATCCGGGAAAAATATCCTGGTGTCTTACCTTTTTCATCACGAAGGTGGATCACTGATGTGGCCTGGCCTTGCATATCCCTAAATTTGTAAGCATGTTAAACTAGCGTTGAACATTGTTTACTCTAATGACTGGTCGGACCGTGCGGTATTAATTGGCGCAGTGTGAGTATAAGCTTCCAATAGACACGTTCTGTTTAAAGTCGCGACAAGAAAATGTGACTCATTGGCTGCGGATCTCACATTAAGTTGAGTTGGATCAAATTAGATTTGTGTTCTAAAACAGCTGCTTAAATTATTCGGAAACGTTCGTATGTTATTTTGGCAGTTTTGTCGGCCAACAATGACGTAGACAAAAATACTCTTGTCGACCTAACACAACTTGAACAGTTAGATAGTATTGCAACAGGTAATATTGCTGGCGAGGTCCTAAGCCGTTTGGAGCATGCCACAAATGGATATAGGTGGTTAAGTCGCTACTCATCCAACAGCGGTTTTCTATGATGTCCTTGGACTGCGTCTTGCGTGATAATGCGACAATTTTCAGAAAAAACAGTAGCCAATGAAGAGATGTTTCATGATGTCCCGCGAGACACCATCGAAGTTCTTCCGTCTCTTCTTGAGACGTTGCGTCTTCAGCAAACCCCTGCAACGGCGGACAATACATTTACGAGCGCGGCATCATTGTCAAGGTGGCAAATAAATTGAGTACATGTTAAAGAATCCTGCCCAATTCTTCTATACAATGTATCGCATACAAATGCCATTATCATCACTGTACTTGATTAACACACGCAGAAATGTGGCGGAGGTCATCCCACCGGCATGGACAAGGAATTACAACTGTTCTCACATGAACAGACATGGATATTTCCAGCCTTAGACATTAGTGTGTCTAGCTGCTTCAAGGTGCACATTGGAATCATGGTTGCGAGAATCATGAATCACGAACCAATCATGCATCGCGACACGAGACGAATGACGAGCAATTTGGGTCTGATTTTCCTGCCAATTAGTATCGAAGGATCTCTGACGTGCATGCAGTCATACGCACAGCCGCCCTGCGTCAGACTGACCTTGGTAAGTTGCTGCTTGACCTTCAACAAGCACGCAAGCACCGCTTCTGGGACGCCAGCGCGCTTTCTTCCGCGATCGTCACATGTGGGGCGCGACGCCAGCCGAGTTACGGGGATGGTTATACCCCGGGGCGACTGACCCAGACAGCCCAGACCTGTCCAGAAGGGTGCTGGATACCGATAGCGCTGTGGCTAAGCTGTGCGTCTGGTACACCTGAGGTACGGTATTCGATTCCCCGCAGTGCCCGCTCTTCCCGCCAAGGTGAGACGGGCGACGTCATAAAACCTCAGTAGCCGAGGGCATCATGTCCCAATGACAACACGCGCTCCTCTGGGGCAGCCCAGTACAAAGAGCCAGGCGCCCCGCCGCCGGACCGTTTCGCCAGCCTGATGCGTGCTGACGGGCGTAAGAGGTCTACGATCCCGTCGGACTAGCGCAGGAGGTACACAGAGCGGGCACCCGTGGGACACCGTCTGACGGCCCTGAGTGACGCCGAGAGCACGGCCTCATGTTCGAACATCAGATCAGCAGGCCTCAAATCATGGTTGCTGTTTGTGGCTGGACATCCGGCAGCTGCCCACCGTTCCGGATTGACATTGCGGGACGTGTCAAAGGCATCGGTCACTTGCGCCTGCGTCTCGTTTTAAAGAATTAACGCCGAGTAGTTCCAGTTCGGACAGCCAGGCAGCTGTGCCGTCTCAGAATGCCACAGAAAACCTGCCAGCTGCTCACCAGAACAGTACGATGCGCATCAAACCAAACACTTATTCAAACCCTGTGTTGTTTCATTGGGGCTTTACGATGCACTCGGCTGCTAAGGCTATATGGCGTCGCCTCCCTCTCACCCTGGCAGGAAGGGCGGGCACCGCGGGGAATCGAACCCCGTACCTCTGGTTTCCCAGACGTGCAGTGGCCATCGCAGACGCGTTAACCAGTACACTACCGACACCCCTATTCAAACCCCGTGGGACGTGCCCGCTGAGCTGTCCGCGTCGGTGAACAGACCAGTTTGAAGCCGGATGTATCTCGGAAAGGACAAACAGCTCGAGGATCGATTGGCGGCGTACCGTCGGCTTGCTGGCAAGGCGCCGCTCTACAGCGGCGAGCGGGCAGCCCGCGTGGCGACTCACCATAGCCCGGTCTGGCGAACATTATCAACCGCCCAGCTATGCTAAGGCATGCCTCGAGACACGACCCGTCACACGCACCTCGCTTCCCATATCATTGGTTGTGACGAGGGCAATTTGCACGATGGTCAAAGTACAAAATGCCGAAAGTACGGAGCATCCAAAGTACAAAATGCCCAAAGTACGAAACATTCAAAGAGCAGAATGTAAAACGAAGGTACCGATTGACCACAAATCGGTTGGTAACGGTCGGCGACGAGTCCGTGCATCTTGTCGGACCAGTTACCAATCATAGCCAATATAACGCGCGCGGTGGCAATTCGGCAATCGCCGTCCTCCAAAGCACGTCGACCTCCGTGAACTCTATTTGAAAAGAACACACCGAACGTCCACCAATGCACAGCGATGAAGCGGCCCAACCGGGGCTGGACGTCCGTGTTCACAGCACGACATGGGCTGGCTGGCCGTCTCGCCGCAGCGGTCCGCAGGCGGGGTCACACCGTGACCTCACAACGCCACTGGTCTCGGACCGGAGCCCGCCGCCGCGCGCGTGCGAATCATCACGTCACGACGCCAGCGCCGCCTGTCGGGCAGAGGGCGCGGCGGTAGCCTGCCGCAGGGGCCGGCCGCCGGCCGCCAGCCGTTGAGGAGTCGGGGAACACTGGGCGGGCCCGGCTCAGGCACGCAGCGCCAGGAACTGGTGGAAGGCGTCCAACACGTGCGGGTCCAGGTCCTGGGTGAACAGAAGCGTCTCCAGCGTCTGGCTGTACTTGTGCACCTGCTCGTTGTGCTGCCGACGAAAGCACGCGGTCAGGCGGCGGCGGTCGGAGACACGCGAGGAGAGGGTCGCCGTCAAAGGCCCCGGGGGCGTCACCGGGGCCTCACCGGGGGCACGCGGTCAGGCGGCGGCGGTCGGAGACACGCGGGGAGAGGGTCGCCGTCAGAAACCCCAGGGGCGCGCAGGAGGGATGGGGAGGGCGTCACCGGGGGCATGCCTTTAGAGGGACGTGGTGGGAGGAACGTAGCTAAGTGAACACAGCCATGGACACGTAACCGGAGTGATGCGTTGCTAGGCGTCTGCAGATCGCATGACACTGTATCAAACAGCAGCCCGCACCAAGAACTAACCCGCGACTCCTGATAACCATCCCTCGTCGTTGCATGCCAGGCGCCTAAGGGGGAGGGGTGGGGGCGGGGGCGAAGGGGGGGGGGGATAGCCTACCTGCATGAAGATCTGCTGGAGTCGGCCAAAGGTCCACTTCCACCAGTGGGTGCGGAAGTCCCTGCCGTCTGTGTCAGAGCGCACCAGGTGCTCCGACAGGATCATGATGAACCGCTGCCGACCGGGCCGATGCGTCACCTCAGGGAGGGGGGGGGGGGGGGCAGGGGGCGTACAGAGGCCGCGCCTAGGCTCCGACGCCCCGGGGGCTCTCACAGTTCTGTCTGGCCGGCCAGGGCCGTGTCTCATAAAATTTCAGACTTGGTCCCAAAGTGAAACCAGAATTATCCACTTATCACCATCTACGACCCACTACATTTGTCGATTGGGGCCGAAGGTAAAACCTAATACATTCGTTCCCAATTGCCACTTTCCTTTTTCAGTGAAATTAGTTATTTGCCTCACTTTTGTTAAACCAGTTGTTATCAAACTGCTTCCTTTTCCAGTGAAATTAATTATCTGCCCTCAGTTTTATTAAACCAGTTGTTATCAAATTGCTTAACTGCTAGTTCATTATTAAATTATCCCTCAGTTACGCGGCGGTGATCGCGTCTATTTTCGACTTTAAGCTTGAGTTTTCGATCGCCAGTCCGTTTTTGGCTGCGGTTCACCGCACTGGCGTGTATCGGCTCTGAGGCAATGCGCCTGTCACGGCTGACGATAATCAGGCTCCGATGGCTGATTCCAGCGGCGATCATTAAGGCTCAGCCCTCCCCGTCCCGCACGCAGTCAATAATGGGGCACCCGTCACGAGCAAGCTCCAGCCTGCAACACCTTTGGATCGATTTTGATTCGTAGGCGCCCGCCGCGCCCACAACAGTGATGTGGTAGATCAAATTTGGCAGCAAGAGCAATTGCAATGTTTGATGCATGATGTTCTTTAGCACCAGATGACGATGGTATAGCATAACTACGATTTGGGTATTCCTGCACGATCGCACGACGGTGTGATGACCAAAACGGGTTTCCTGAAAATAACACCCACGTTACCGCACTTTCCTCACTGCGGTGATAAATCGATCAAAGAGGATCTGCGCGGAGAAGACTTCTGATGCACTGACATTTTCCAAATAACTAGTGATTGCCTCCGACACGGCACCGCGGGCCAGCGCGTCTCGCGCCTGGCGGCCTCGCCTGGCCCTCAGCTCACCTGGAAGATGATGAGGAAGAGCGTCTTCTGGTCGGACTGGGCCTGCTCAAGCCGCTCCTCCATGCGCTCCACCTGCTCGTCGCTGGGCCGGTCGCGCCGCTCCTCGTCGCTGTCGCTGTCCTCCGAGTCCCGGTGCAGGCGCGCCCGCGCCTCGGCCGCCTCCACCGTCAGCTTGTGCACGTGCTGGCTCATCTTGCGGATGGTCAGGTTGAGGATCTCCCAGACGTAGGACCTGGCGGCGGCGGCGGCCGGTTATGACAGATCGCGTCCGGACCTTGCGCGGGCACCGGCCGGCCAAGACGACGTACCCGGACGACATCCACGACGGTGGCCCAAACCACCGCATACCAAACACTGTCATTCGTCTCGATCAGCTCCATTCATAACCGTCGCATTTTTGCAAAATCAAGCTGAAGCGCGCGCACGAAAGCAACGGCCAGCGCGAAAGTGGCGCGGTCTGTCCAGCCGCCCGACAGAACACTCACTTGAGGAACACGGCGTTCATCTCGCGCGAGAAGATCCAATTGGCGACCGCCGAGCACTCGACGATCTGCGTCTTCAGCATCTTGTCCACCAGCACGCACATCATCTGCGGGTGGTTCTTCCACACCTCGTACAAGCTGCGCAGGACGCAGATCTGCGCCTCCTCCGTCTCGGCCAGCACCTGGCGGCGGACGCCGGCGCGTGTGAGCGGGAGCCGTCGGTCCCACCAATGCGACCACGTGCGCCGCGCCGCGCGGCCGCCATCCCAGCGGGCGCGGACGCCAGGCAGTGGTCCATGTACGTCACGACACACGGATCTCTCCAGGGCCGATGTGCTCAGCACACTCCATTCCCATCATTGTGGATCAACTCTGCGATCAAGTGATCCGAAGTATAGCTCTACAAATCGCCACCAGGCACTTGGTACACAGTAGCAAGCGACGTTCCACGTCATCCTAACGTCCGAACTCCACTAAGGTCCAGATTCGCCCCGAAACCATTCACAGCACCAACTCCCCCGTTCATCCCGCAAGGGCTGTCACTGGTGCGCCGACTCACCGTCCAGCAACGTGGCGACATGCCAGCGAGCGGCGCGACCGCCCCGGGCGGGGAGTACCCACCTTAAACACGTAGCGGAACTTGGCGATGGCCGCGAACGCGTGCGAGAAGCTCTTGGAGCCGACGTAGATGAGCGTCTCGGTGAAGACCTCGATCTTGAGCGGGTTGTGCGTGGGCTCGGCGTCGTCGTCTCCGGCCTTTAGCGGGTTGGGCATCTCCTTCAGCAGTCGGATGGCCTCCTCGGGAGTGCAGCGCTCCTTGATGGCCGTTATCAGCTGGTGCGCCACCATGGTGCCGGCCAGCGAGGCGGCGCCCTCCTCGCCGTACCGGAAGCGTGGCTTGGGCTCCAGCGGCACCAGCGCCGCGAACTCCTGACCGGCCATCTCCTAAGGGGGGGGGGGGGGGGGGGAGGGGCGTGACCGGGCGTTCCCGTCACGGCGGCGCGCGCAGCAGACTGCTACCGCACGTCACAGCAGACACGTCTGGCAGTCTAGATGCGGTCGGGCCACACGGGCAGAGCGAGTGCGAGGTCCGCTAGCCCGAGGCTAGCTGACAGCTTGGGACGAAACACGGACAGCAGAATGCCAACTGGCAGCTTGAAGCCAATAACGTTCAACGTCGTTGTTTAGGAAGCGAAAAAAATGTTCCGACGAACGTGTCGTATCCCAAGACACAGGCACTGCATGGTCACCACCCCAGCTGCAGCTGTCACGGATGTCACAGGACAGCGCACAGCGGCTAAGCCGGCCACTGGCCTAGCTCCAATCTCGGCCCGAGATCAGCCCAGCCCAGCCCAACCCAATATCTTACCCAACCCAACCCATCCTGGCCCGGCCCAGCCCAGCCCAGCCCAACCCAATATCTTACCCAACCCAACCCACCCTGGCCCAGCCCAGCCCTGCCCAGCCCAACCCAATATCTTACCCAACCCAACCCATCCTGGCCCAGCCCAGCCCAGCCCAGTACAGCAGGGCCCAGCCCAGCCCAGCCCAGCCCAGCGCAGCGCAGCGCAGCGCAGCGCAGCGCAGCGCAGCGCAGCGCAGCACAGCACAGCACAGCACAGCCCATCCCAACCCAAGATCTTACCCAACCCAACCCATCCTGGCCTGGCCTGGCCTGGCCCAGCCCAGCCCAGCCCAGCCAAGCCCAGCAGGGCCCAGCCCAGCCCAGCGCCCGGTCTGCCCACCTGGACCCGCTGGTGATAGCTGAGCCGGAGCGACTTCTCGAATGTCTCGCGCACGAACTTGGGCTTGGGGTGCTCCGGGTCCAGCGTCAGGCAGTCGGCCCAGTCGGCCCACGACCAGCGGAAGTGGAAGTTGCTCAGATGGTAGCTGAACCAGGTGACGAACCTGCCGGCCGGCGTCCGCAGCATTCAACACCGGCACAGGGAACCGCTGTGGTGCGAAGGAGGACTGCAGAGCCAGGCACTACGTTAGATCCGGAGAGCTTCGCGGGAAACAACATAAATGTGTTACACGCTTCCAAACCACACGCAACAGCGGCGGCACGGCCAGACATCACGTCTCCAGCGGCTCCGGCCATGCGTGACGGCGCCGACGCCATGACTGTCGCCGTTACCTCTGGAACGCCGATACGTTCATGGTGTCGATGCGCTCGAACAGGATCTCGGTGGCTTGGGCCAGCACCTGCGGGATGGTGCTCGGCTGCAGCTTGCACAGCTCGATCAGGATGCAGCCGTAGTTGATCTCGAGGAACCTGCTCGCAGACACACACACATACCGGCCGTCAGCGGGGGCGCCCAGGCCACCGCCCGGGGCGGCTGCTGCCGTCCGCCGCCGGTGGCCGGTCGGCAGAGGAGCCAGAGACAAGCAGGGAACGAATCCGCCGCAGGCCAGGCGTTACTCGCGCCAAACGCCGGCGCGGCGCGGCGCAGCGCACTGTCCAGCACAACGTGGTGACGCGCTCAACAGCAGCAGGGACGCAATCTTAAACGTGGTTCACTGTGGACAAATACTCTGAGACAGCGGCCACGAAGCTATTGCAGCATACGTACCATAGCGGTAGGACTTCGGCAACAGCGGCATACATTCGTCTTGGGGGGAGGGGCCGGGCAGCAACCAACACACGTGCCTGGATGACGACGGCTGGATGGTGAAAGTAATACACCCGTGCCCGATACGTGACGGTCGGCCAACTGCAGCAGCTCACGTACCCGGCCGGCGGCAGCTGGGCACATCGCAGCGCACGTACCTGGGCGACGGCATCTGGAACAGCTCGGCGAACACCACCTCCACGATCATGTAGTCGAGCGGTATCTTGGTCTTGTGCGGGAAGTTGAGCAGCTGCGCCGAGCTGCGGCGACGTTCACACCAAGTTAACGGCTAGTCGCTGTTCTGCGACCATCAACCTCCCGCGGCGGACATGTCGACTGGCTGTGTGCACCGTCATAAGCTATCGTCTTTTGAAATATAATGCGACGGAAACTGTAAACCTGGCCAACCGGAAGAAGCTGCAAGCCTACCCACCAAGCCGTATCTTTCATAACCTGCCATAACCGAGACCTCCAATTCCGTGCCAGAGGCGTTTCCACCACACAAAATCACCCCGTGATTTTGCTGCCGGCGCAGTCATTTCGTAACTAGCACACACAATTCCCTGAAGCCCCTGAATGGAAGCCTGCCAGCTACCTGTCGGGCAGCACCGTATAATTGCATGACGCGAATGTTTCGCCCTAAACCAATTAGGCTACGTGCATCGAAGCCCGCGACACAAAACAACACGCCACGCGGCCAACGCCAACGCGGAGCTCCTACGTGACGGAATAGTGGAGCGAGCCACCACGCCAGCCTGGCCCAGCTCCAGCGCCGCCAGCCGGACGTCGGAGGGACGGCTGATCCCAGGCTCCACTCACCACTCCTTGCGGTCGTTGTGGTGCACCTCCAGGATGTGGTGGATGTGCTCTTCGATGAGGTAGCGCTCGATGCTGTGTGCGCCGGGCAGAATCGGGCCGCTCTGCCGCAGCGCCGGACACGGCCGTCAGTCGGGGCAGCGGCACCGGGCACGGCCGTCAGTCGGGCAGCGGCACCGGACACGGCCGTCAGTCGGGGCAACGGCACAGGACACGGCCGTCAGTCGGGGCAGCGGCACCGGACACGGCCGTCAGTCGGGCAGCGGCACCGGACACGGCCGTCAGTCGGGGCAACGGCACAGGACACGGCCGTCAGTCGGGGTAGCGGCACCGGACACGACCGTCAGTCGGGCAGCGTCGGACACGGCCATCAGTCGGGCAGCGGCACCCGACACGGCCGTCAGTCGGGCAGCGGCAACGGACACGGCCGTCAGTCGGGCAGCGGCACCGGACACGGCCATCAGTCGGGACAGCGGCACCGGACACGGCCGCCAGTCGGGACAACGGCACAGGACACGACTGTCAGTCGGGGAGCGGCGCAGGATACGCCACATACGGCTGCCGCTAATACCAGCAGCCACACGGCACACAGCTGCCACCGACACCGGCAGTCACACAGCTGCCACCGACACCTGCAGTCACGCAGCTGCCATCGACACCGGCAGTCACACAGCTGCCACCGACACCGGCAGTCACGCAGCTGCCACCGACACCGGCAGCCACGCAGCTGCCACCGACACCGGCAGTCACGCAGCTCTGCCCACAGTCACATGCCGCGCGACTGCCAATGCCAACCCTGCTCTTCCAGCCCACGAAAGCTGTCCGGCGGTCACGTGACTGGCTCGGTCACGCCTCGGCAGTGGGGGACGTTACGAGCACGGATCACGTGACAAACGTCCTCACCAAATTATGGAGGGAATGGCTCAGCGGCCGGCGCCGCCCGGTAAGAATATATTTGATCTACAGCGACGAAGATATCGACTGCCAGACTTGCCGCAGCCCATACCGGCCGTCCTGCCATGGTTTCCCTGCTACAATCAGCAGGCTGCTAACGGCCTTTTACCTGATGCGATTCTCATAACTTGAACCGACACAACTGTTACTCACAAACTCGCGAGCCATCGCGCCGGGACCCTGGCGCGTGCTAGCTACCCTGCAGCGCTGCCGAGCCAGGGTCTGCGTTCCACCGTTCGCCGCGTGGGGCCAAGTCGCCTGTCTGCGCCACTCCGGTCCACCATCCGCCAGCGTCACACCCAGACCCCGGCCCACACCGTCCGCTCACCTCCGGACAGTCTGTGTAGTCGAACATCCTGAAGACGACCTTGGGCTGGGGGTAGACGTTGGTGGCGTGGTGCAGCGGCGCCTGAATGTCGGGCAGCTTGTGCTGCAGCGCCTCCGACAGGATCGAGTCGAAGGCCAGGTACGGCCGCAGGATGTGCTTCTCCTGCCAGCTGTCGGCACGCAGCTTGCTGATTTGCGCCCACAGACAGTCCAGTTGCTGAAAGAGCGGAGACGCCGGCTCAGCCCAGCAATGGAGCGGGCGGCGTCCAGAGACGGCAGGCGGCGCCTGTCTCCGCCGCATCACCGACAGCGCAGCTGAGCGGCACTGGAGCCGGGCCGGGCTCGCCACGGAACGCAGCAAGCCCGGCCGCACCGCACGGGAGAGAAACTGGCTCAGTTAGCGAGTGATGACCGCCCTTCGGACTCCGTAATGGAACACAGGAACAGCCGACTTAAGTCACGATCTTGCGCGCATTCCGCGCCTGCTGACTGCAGCCACGGGTGGTAGTCGGCCGGCCGGCTGCGCCACGCGCTGCGCGAGCAGACGCCAGCCAGCCGTACCTCCTCCTGTGGGTGCGGGTCGTCGCTGGACCAGACGCGCAGCGCCGGCACGTGCTTCTTGCTGCGCCGGTCCAGGTAGGTGCGGATGGTGGCCAGCAGCCGGTCCAGGTCGGCCTCGCGCTTCTCGAACAGCTCGCGGCCGACCCAGGGCAGGCATGTGAGCACGGCGTACACCAGCCAGTCGGTGCGCACCTGTCGGCAGTGTGGCGGCACCACGCCCTCAGCGGCGGCGGCGGCGGGGGCGGCCCGCCGGAGACGCCGACACGGCGTCACCGTGACGAACGAATGCGGTCAACGTTCACGAGCATCGGCGCCAACGCTGGCTTCGCAATGGTAAGGGCAGATCTCACGCCGGCCAGTGAGCAGAAGCGACACAAAAGGGGGATCAGAGCGAAAGGCAGCGAGTCATGTACTGGGTGACAAGGTAAATCATGCACATATCCATCACATCCACCCCCAACACACGCACTCCACCAACAACAAGCAGCACAGTTGTTATCTAAGGGCATTTATGTTTGTACCACGACTCTGAGAGGACACAGCTGTCTTTACCGGCGGCCCACATCGAGTGTATACTGTGCTCTCACCAACGTTCCCCGTGAGAGACGGCCATATCCCCCCTCCCTTTGGGATGTCTGTAACCCCTGCGTACCTGCATGCTCACAGCCCCCGTTGGCCACAGCCATCTCCTACGGTTCCCGTTGAGCAAATCCGTCTCCTATAACAGGTCCCGCTGAGCATACCCGTATCCTACGGATTTCGTTGGGCACACCTGTCTCCTACAATCCCCGTGGAGCACACTCCTCTCCCCCGGATCACATCTTGGGACATAACCGCTTCCGTCCACCCCGGGGCGCTGCTGCCGTTAAAACGGGCGTGTCACCCCTGACTCGGGCGTGCCGCCGCTGAACCGGGCGTGCCGCCCCTGACTCGGGCGTGCCGCCGCTGAACCGGGCGTGCCACCCCTGACATGCGCGTGCCGCCACTGACCCGGAGTTGCCGCCCCTGACCCGGGCGTGCCACCCCTGACATGGGCGTGCCGCCCCTGACATGGGCGTGCCGCCGCTGACCCAGGCGTGCCGCCACTCACCTGGGGCACGCCCGTCTCCATGGCAGCATCCAGGAAGTTGTCGTAGACGGCCAGCAGCGAGGAGGCCGACACCACGTGGCAGTTGACCAGGTCGGAGAGGAAGCGCAGACAGTTGCGCGCCTTGTCCCACTCGCAGATCTTCAGGCTGTCCTTCAGGCAGCGCACCAGCGACTCGGCGAACTGTAACGGTCAGGAGCGTTGTCGGACCGGGGCCGGCGGCGCCCTGCGACGGCGCCGGTGGAGACACACTCAACTGACCAGGAGCGCCGTCAGTTCGGGGTTGGCGTCGCGCTGCGACGGCGCCGGCAGAGACACACTCAACCGGCCAGGAGCGCCGTCAGTTCGGGGCCGGCGGCGCCCTCCGACGGCGCCGGCGGAGACACACTCAACCGGCCAGGAGCGCCGTCAGTTCGGGGCCGGCGCCGCGCCGCGACGGCGACGGCGGAGACACACTCCAGCACATACACAGTGCTTGGCTCGGCCGGGACAAGCAACCTCCGAGGCAACGTAGAGAGGCGTAGGAAGGGTAGTGACTTTCTGTTGTTCCAATCTGAAGCTCAAGTTTCAGCCTGGAGTGTTATTCGACAGGTCAGGAGTGCCAAAAAGATTAGGTCAAACGCTGAACGCCATACCTCACCGCCGAAATTATAGTTCTTGGCGTTGAGCAGGCCAACCAGCGTCGAGTAAACGGACGACCGTTCCGGCATCTTGGACGCGCAGTCCACCAAGATTCTTTGGATCTTGTTTTTGGCCTTGACGAGATCATTTTCCAGGACCGATGACAGACCCTCCAGGTTGGATTCCAAAGACGCAGTACTCTGTCAGAAAACATCAGCGCGGTAAAAACATGCTACATAATCTGACCGGAACCGAATAATGTCAAGTTCGGCTTGCGCCTTAACGCCTTAAACACAGAACAACAATACGTACAATCTTAAGACCGAAACCGGATATTGGCACGCATCAAACTGTGAGACGCTGACTGGCAATATCGCTTGTCGCTATGGTCCGCCGACCGTTTTCAGCGAATTACCCTTTCTCCGACGCGGATGATCAGGGACTCAAGCCGGTCCTCGATCTCGGCGGCGTCCGTCGACAGGCGGCGACGCTTCGCTGATCTAGAGTCGTCTGTCGGCGGGCGGGCGTGCTGTCAGCGCACCTGGTACACTGTTCACGCACTGCGACTGATCCATGCAACACGTCAAACGCAGTCGTATTTAGACAGGGCTCAAGCACTGTTGCGTCCTCCCGCACAACTTCGCCTGAGGATCACTGGAGGCAATCAATCAGCAGGAATCTGAGTCACCAGTGTCACAAATCACCAAGGGCAACCGAGCAGCGTATATATATTTGGTGACAATATCCGTTCAAGCAAAATATTCCAATGTAAAATGCACCTGGAAGAACCCGCCCTCATCATGTGCTGGACAGGCAATGAATTTCCTTCGCCCACAGTAGCGCGCCGCTGGTAACAGAAGCGGATTTTCTAATCTGCGTGCTTAAAGTGGTCGTGCGGTATAAACTTTTGAAGCTTCCTGAACACTCAACGAACGGCGCGTTACGACATATGAAAAGCGGCATTGCTTTTGAAATGCTGCTGACAATGACTACGCACCTAGCAAACACGGTTAACAAGCAGTGTTTGCATACACGAGGGGTGCTTCTACCGGAGCGGTGCCTCCACTCGCGAGCTCATTGCCAAGTCAAATGCTGGGACACTCACCGGCGGCGCGCATCTGGACAGTTTCGACCAGTTCACGACAAACAAACAGCGCGAAAGCATGGAGACATCGAGGCAGTGTAACAGGAGTGCTCTCGCTTCACGGCGGGGAAAAACTGAGCCAGGGCATCAGAAGGGGGTCGAAGTCGCTGTGAGCGCGTCGTCACATGGGTCACTTCGCAGTGAATGAGAACCGATCGATACGGTGCCATGTGCCATTCTTATCCAAATTGACAACACTTGTGTGCCATTCCCATCCCAACTGACATCAATTATGTGCCATTCTCATCTGAACTGACATCACTTATGTGCCATTCTCATCTGAACTGACATCGCTTATGTACCATTCTCATCCGAACCGACATCACTTGTGTGCCATTCTCATCCAAACTGACATCACTTGTGTGCCATTCTCATCCAAACTGACATCACTGCAGAGTATAATAGAACATTCCTCTGGAACAGTCAAGACGGTATCCCCAAAACCATGCATCAGCAGAGATGTGGACGCTTACATAATGCTGGTTATCGGCAAAAACAAGCTAAACGTAAAGGCCAAAAACACATTGAAAAGAAAGAAGACCATAAGCTATTAAACCAACAGCTGCTGTCATTACAGGAATGTGGAGACGTGGGCCTCCGACTGTGGCACGAAGTAGGGCAGATATATATATATATATATATATATATATATATATATATATATATATATATATATAACACATGTGCAAGTACCTGGGCCACTATTGTAGAACATTAAGTTCGTAGCTTCCGAAAAAATCAGTAAGCAGACGGACTTCTACATTACGTCATCAATGAGGATATGCAACCAAAGCCCACAGCTCATCAATCTTTTCACAAATAAGGTTTATTTATTATAGGTATTTCACAAAGATCTTTTCACAAATAATTCACCTATCACAGGTGGACATGAACTGAGCATACAACTGTCAGTTGCATCTGCCATATCTTTACAGTGTGTCAACAGCGCAAAGGACTAAAGTGGTTGCCTCAAAAAGTTGATGTGAAAGTCCCATTTCACATCACCATATACCATATGTAGTTATTTGCAACACTTTAATTCCTTTTTAAAGGGATCTATAAGCTGTTCAAAAACTCAAGGCATTTTGATCTTATGCTCATTGATTCTGTGATATGAATCAGTCTAATTGGTAACTCATTCATCTATGAACAATGAAAATAAATTGCCTCATGAACTTGATGACTTGTACTAGCTTTTGTGATCAGCTAACATGATTAGAGATTTTCATAACAATTTCTGCTGATATAATTACTTCAAATTTATTGCATGACAGAAAAGCCTCCAGTAGTACAAATGGCCTCACTCAACATTGGTAGGCATTTGGCTGTGGAACTTCAACCATTTAAGGTGTTATTATATGTGGACATGAGGTAGCAGGAAGATGTGATAAATGAGAAACCACTTGACAGGTGTAAAGGTAGAGGTAGCACCACAGCTAGGCCTCGGGTGGGATTTTGTTTACATGGGTGTGGCAGGCTCTTCTCTGGCATCATAAATGTTGGCAATCAGACAACATTCAAAGGTACTTTGCTGCCAGGACGTAATGGAGCATCTCCATGCAGATGTAATGATAGATTTGCAACACCCCACAGGCCTTCAGTTGCAATAGGAGTGCATTTCCCTCTGCAATAAAACTGGATCATTATAAGTGGTACTGAGCCACATCCCATCACACAGAAATGGGTTCCATATCACATGTCTGCTGCATTAATGGTGCACAGCTGGTTATCAGAAGCCCTGAAGTTAGATTCAAGGTAACTAGTTTAGTTTGGAATGGCCATTTAGCTATGTTATGACTGGTAAAATGCATTATTTATTATTTATTCTGTCAATCTAGGAGATGCTACTCTCGCTGTGGTCAGTACTGTATACAATATGATGCATGTGTTTCTTGCCACATAGACTGATGATAAATACCACCAAAACTATGATATTGCTATGTGACAGCCATTAACCAAGCCAAATTTGCAAACATTTGTCTATAATACCCATGGATCACATGCTTGTGCTGAGATGGCATGCAAAATGTAGTTATCTTTATGGATCCATCTTTGTCACATAGCTGTCATATAATCAGGGGACAGGAGAATGTGTTAGCATCCTCTTGGGCATTAACAATGAATTTGCATCCTCATAGCCATTGCCAATGAGTTGGTATGTTACATTAGGTGACAAGACCTAACAAAAAATGCTTCAATCTGATCAAGCCATAGCAGTTACTCCAATTTAGACAAAATGCTTCAAAAACAATCTTGGGTCCAGGGAATACATGATCTTTACAATACCCATGGCCACCATGCCAAAAACTGACTTACCATCAAAGTCATCATCATACTTCCTCCTGACAGATTTGCTCATCGTTTCTGGAACAGAAAATCAGAAAAGTTGCAATGATTCATCATTTTTTGAAGATCAGTACACTTCAAGCAGAGGTCAGCCAAACAGCTATAGTTTGGTAATCAGTGACATCAGGGTCATGCCTCCAAGTGGAACAGCATCATACAGACAGAATTTGAAAATGGGTGTCATGAAGTGTGCATATTACATAACCAACTAAAACCTCCCTAGGCAAGGCAAACTCAATAATATCACATGTGTGGCACTTCCCAGACCACAGACAATAAAATATAAACTGAGGTGCTTGTCCATTAACCTGTCTTTTTAAAGGCAGCACAACATGAAAAGGCTGGTTTGTTGTATAATCAGATGATGCTGGTGCCATCCATTTACTGAGCATTGTTACTCAATGACAAGTAACAGCTCCTGTACATTTATTGCAATATCTTATGATCACCACCAAATGTGGCACTCACCTTACAACCGCACCAACAAAACAAGTTACACAGAACATGTTCTGTCCCACAAAACAGTACCATCTGAAAATTCAGGGCATGCATGCTAGCCCTAATCTCCAAGCACTCAAAGTTTAGCACACTGTCAGTTCAGTGGCCACATAGTTACACCACCAATTCAACATGCAGAGAGCCAGGTTTAAGGGAATTACAATACTGCAAAAGCAGTCTTAAATCACGTATTACAGCTCAATGTCAAAACACAAAAGCAAAACAGATTGTGATGAATCCAAGGGACGTTTATATGAAGGTCAACTTTAGTGAAACTTGGCCGCTGCCGTCCCACCAAGGCATCCTCATTCTCCATCTATGCCCGTAAACCTGGTACACATCAACTCATAATCTTCATGCACTAAAAATAAGGTCTTCATGTGAAGACAGGTACATACCTCACCGGCAGTAGCACCAACAACAACTAGAGCCACTGCAACCTACTTTCTAATAAACACGCAACACCACCCTGTATCTAAACCCGGTCGACGCCAAAGCGATGAGATTCCGCAATACGCCAATCGTCCATAAGAAACAATAGCGCCATATCTGTCACTAAATAATTACACAGCTAGCTGCCACATCCTTCCCCGCACATTTTAAGCTGCGAAAGTTAAATTGTAAATGGGTTTGGGCTTCACCTGGCAAAGCTAGCCGGATCTCCATGACCAAGACTATTGAAGACCATAATGCAAGTGGCGGAGATCGAGTGGGCTTTTTGAATTGTACCCCAACCTGGGAACACAGGTACCGGGTGGGATACCGGGGATTCCTTTCCCTTCCCTTAGCACCCGAGGGGCTAGAAGAGCCTCTGGGGACCGACGGCCAAGGACTCCATTGGGTGGCCAAAAGGGTCCGAGGGGCTGGCTAGAGTTTGCATAAAGGAACCTTAATGCAATTAAAGAAAATTAAGGACATTCTCTACCTTTGTCAGTCGGGAGGCCTCTTCCTTCGATATGAAGCCTCTGGGACAAAGAGGCTGTCTATATTGGCCAGGGATCACCAACACCGTCCAGTCGGCTCCGCGTTAGCCTGGCCTCTAGGGACTCATTTTCTCAGCAGGGACCAGGCCGGGATCAGCCATTTGTATTGGTTGTGGTTTCTGAAACCATGATGGTCCCCTATGCTGGTCAGCGGCCCCTGGTGCCTAAAGGGGTGCCGTGTTGGCAAGGGCTCTAGTCAGCCAGGGGCATCTTTTTCTGAGAAAACGGTGAGGAAGGCCGAATGTCGGAGCTTCTTGCCCTTTAGCAATGCAATATGATATGGGAACTTTCGATTGAAGAGTTCACATTGAGAGAATTCAATGGACGAGGAATCCTATGTCCTATTTCAGTCGGGGGCCCGATTAGCCGAACTAAAATCCCTGTGTGAATTATTGAACCCCTGCACCGATGAAATACACTTCTGCGTCAATGAGGGCGCCTGTTACGATCGGAGGCTTACTACTCCGGTCTCAGAGCCTTCGGCGTCAGAGAGGGAGCCGATGCATGTTGTTTTCCTCTGATGGGCCCGGCAGGGTCTCTGCCCGTGACGTCAGAATTGCAGCTGGTACTTACCCCAGGATAGGAAAAGGAGGCTCTTTAACCCCTGGAAATGTAGTGTGTTCCCTTGTGTTCCATATTTACAGGGTTCCTCGCTCGAGATAGGTAAGGAAAAACATCGAAAAAATACATTCCCATGGGATGCAAATTTTATGTGGAATATACGATATCCACCTTTTGTGATGTCACGGTAAGTGTTGAAACCAGAGGGAGAAGGAAACAAGAGGTCATTTCCCCTGAACCTTGACGGACCAGAAAGCTTCGAGGGCTTCCGCACGGATGCAGGTTTTTAAAAATTAAAACGAAAATATTTCGACGTTTGTGTGTCTACAGGTGATCAGAAAGAGATACAAGCAAAATAAGGACGCAGTGGAAGAGACAAAAAATATGTGCTGATTGAGAGGGTGGTGACAGGAAAAAGTTTTAGGGTGTATTACGTCATCCAAGGGTCCTACGCTGTCGCCGGAAACCCTTAATGACCAATTGCCAGACAGCTTCCCCTCTCTCTCTCTCTCTCTCTCTCTCTCTCTCTCTCTCTCTCTCTCTCTCTCTCTCTCTCTCTCTCTCTCTCTCTCTCTCTCTCTCTCTCCGCGTGCTCAGTATTCGCCAGTCCGGCGCTGTGCCCCCGTTGGATGGTGCAGCGGACTTGCCCCGGTGTCTACTGCGGTGTCTGCTGGTGCAGTCTGCATCGGTATCCTCTCCCGCGGCTGCGACGTGGCGACGCTCCCGTCGCTTCCCCCGGGCGATCGCGGCCGAGCCGGCACTGGCGCGGGATGGGAGCATGAACGTGCGTCTCACGGGACAGTCCATGGCCCGGCTGGGAAGCGGCCAGACCAGCGCGCGGATCAGGGGCGCGAGAGGGGGGGGGGGGGGGGGAGGGGGAATGCGCCGGGAAATCGCTAAACTGCGTGCATCCCGCCCCGGGGAGCTTTACTGGCGCAGCGAGGGAGGAGCGAGATACGGCCGTCTGGGAAAAGAGGACATATTGACCCGTTGTATTTGCCGGTGCCAGTACGCATATTGCAAACGTGCTTTTTTAACTTAACATGGTCAAGCAATGATGTTGACGACTAAGTGTAGTGGGTAGACGAGACATGAGTTCTGCTTGTTTGGCATCATTTAAAACATATAAAGCAGACTGATTCGCAAGCAGTCGTCTTTGAAGTGGTGTCTAACATGTAAACGGATTTATCACATCATACACCTCAGGGAAGAGCCGTGTATTCACGGCGAAAATGGCCAAATGCTATTTTACCAGAACGAACTGGTTCAGAAGGGCTGGATATCGTTCTCGAGAAGTTGGGTAGGTGGGTAGCGTCCTGCATCCAGGGCCCCAAATCACAGGACCAGGTGAGAATAAAATCCCCCATCATTCAGAAGGCTTTGGTCTGAACCCTCCTGTCCTACAACAGGCTCTTTGATCTCGATTTTCGGAGCATGTTTTGTGAGGGTTAAAAGCTATTGTAGAAGAGTGCGGCTAGAAGCCTATTGCATATTTTGACAACTGAAGCATTTGTCGCCGTTTGAGGAATGGCGTTATATTTGCTTCCGCCCATTTCACACCGCCAAACTATCCCCGATAGCAGCCGACTGCATCACGTCTCTCATGCAGAAACTCAACACGTTGTTCGGTACTGATTTTGACGCTCCGAAGGCGAGCGATTTTTAACTTTTTGTTAACACGTGTTTCCTGGTTTAACCCCATAAAAGCCGTACCTAAATAAGTCTCTGAAAATCGGCACACACAGCCCTTGTGGCCTCAGTCTGTCAATGTTTTTCCGCAGCGGTATGAGAAATTTAAAGGAGATATTCCACATTTGAAGATAGTGAATCAAGCGTCTCATGTGATGACATAGTCTCCCTCATAACTTTTGGTATACTTATGAGTGGAAAAGGCTGCTTTAGACAACACCGTCTCTCTGTTTAGGAAAGATACCCTGAATACGTCATTGTTGGATTCAGCTATCGTACAGTGCATGGTATTGGCTGAGAGCCAATTGACAGCCAGTACATCTGGAAATCGCGCTCACGAACGCTCAGATATGAACGCATCGACAATGGCCTCGGCCTTGACCTTGATCTCCGTATGTCTAATGGAATGAAGGAATTTAAATACCGTTATTTTGGCGGCATGGATGCCTGGGTGGCATTGAAATAATATCGGCGAAATAGCCTGCCCATCTCCGCGGGCGTGTAGCTCAGGAACTGCAGAGGTTTAGGTCTTAAGAACGGTAGGGCTGTAAAATGCACCGATTGATCTTCCAGGTGGCTATTTCGGCTAAAAATCCCATACAAATGTGGGCACTCTCTAATCAAAAACGCTATCATCACAGCATTGCGCTCAGCGGAAAACTTTGATCCCAGCACACAGACTGGAAATAACTCGTCTATAGAGATTATTAACAAGCGCTCGGGTAGGCGTCAATTTGACCCGTCCTCCGAAAGTTTCACGAAATAATTACCAAAAGGTGTGGCGTAGCCGCGCCAAACTTTGCGTACCTGTAGTGAACTGGATGGCAGATCTATTGATGTAAGAAAGATCGCTGACCAATGGCAGGTCAAAGTCAGGCAGTGGCTGTCTGTAAACGGCGTTCCTAGGGAATTGTTCAATGTGATGCGACCACGGACGAAGTTCTGCATGGCTTCGTCGAACGAAGCCATACAAATAGTGATCTGAAATAGTTGCTTATATTACCTGATAACTTGGTTTAAGGGGCAGTTTCTGGCGCTTGCTTCGAATTTATTCACGACAGGGACCACAGAAGACACGTTCCATGGACACTTAAAGGGCAGAGAAGGTCACTGACCTAAAACGACCTTGGTCAACATGTTGTTTTTTAAAAAAATATTGCACCTAGCCTAATCCCTGACGCTTATTTGAATCGCAAAACAGGAGCAATGTCGTAGGTATTTCGTCACCTTGACCATACGAAGTTCCAAAAGGTCACTGACTTCAAGCGAACACCATTAACTCTTTTCTTAAAACAGGCATCAAACCTCACGCGGTTGTATGAGGAGGTCTGGGGGCACTTGGGACACCAATCTGAAGTTTTACTTTGTGTGACCTTGTTCGATTCCAAAGTAACGACCTATGAATCTCAAGTTTTGACACGGATGAGTCCACACAAAGTCCTACCCACCCTGTGAGTTTGGTGTTTCTAGCTATCTCTATTTTTGAGATCTAAAGGGGTTGGTCAAATTGACCCTTTTTTACCCTTTTTTTGACCCTTGACCCTTGACCATTGACCCTTTTGACCCTTTTTTTCAAATTGACCTGAGCGGACGGTATTCAAACGGCCGCCCGGGCGCGTCCTAACACTCCGGGAGGGCCCATAGGAAATCAGTCGTATCTCACCAAAAGCCAGATTGCAGTTTAGCTGATTACCGTGCCCGGATTCTCCTGGCCGATCCAGGGCTTCAGCTTTGTAGTTATATGTTTCAATCAGGGGCAAAGCGGACCAAACGACACGAGGAAACTATATATAGTTTCGCCGGAAACCTTCCTTACATTCCTCCACGGGGCGATTTACGTGCAGACGGGGACTCCTTTACGTGTCAGCGATACATGCAGAAATGGCCCGCTTTTCAAAGCAGCTGAGTTGTCCCTTGGTAACGAGGGCAGCTTTGACCGCTGAAGCAAGAGCTGAGCGGCTAAAGGCCATGAGTATCCGGAGGACCGTGAGTCTGGAGGGTTCTGAGCACCTAAAGAGGTTCTGGGTGGCTCGCTGGGCTGCTGAGTACCCAGAGGAATGTGTCGATGACCAGAGGGCTCTTCAGTGGCCAGTGGTCATTCAATAGCCGGCAGAACCTGAGTAGCCGAAAGAAGCCCTGGGTGCTGGGAGGGACCAGCGTTATGTGGCCAGAAACGCACATAAGTGATTAGAGCTGCCCCTTGATGACCTGAGAGGCCTTGGACAATCTGTCAGGCCCTGACTGGTCAGATCCTAGAGTGGCC